TAGCAGAATACTCTCACCAGGGAAACCTTCCCCTAGCCAAGTTTTTTACACTCCCAGAGACTGTGGCAGGGGAAGCCCTCACCTGCCAGAGCAGAGCTATTACAATGGGGAAGACTTTCCCTGAAGCAGGGCTGTAAACTGCCACACTTGTGACCTGTAGCATTCCTTGGCTCCCTATTGCCAGAATATCTTTCCACCGGAGCTGTAACACTTAGTATTCTGTGGCTCCAGAGTGACAGAATCCCATCCATCCGAGCCACCACAATGCTTACAGTAGATAGTCATAAAAAAGAAATATATCTTAAAATAATGAAGACCTTAAAAGGGGAGTAGAGTAATATTTTAAAAAGCTACATAAAGATGGAAAATACAGAGAGTCTGGATACTGTATATTATTGTGTTGTCTTATTTTTTTTGGCTGCTAAGAGACCTTGGATTATGAAAGCTCCTAGATTAAACCAACCTATATACGTTTTAAAAAATATCTTAACATCAAAATTTAAGTCAAAAGATGTGTTACTTTGGGACAGAGGTCCTGCTTTTATTTCCACAGAAAATAAGAGGCTTTGGATTCATTCTGTGTGAAGAAAAATAAGGTTTGACCAAATAAGACCTGAGAAATCTCTGATGGGAATGGATGGCCCAGATGATCCAACGTTTCAGTTGCCTCTGTTGTAGTTTCCTCTGAGTTCTTCATCCAGAACAGCTTCAAAGCTTCCGGCTGAGAAGATCCAGCCTCACAGAATACTCCAGTCAGGACTTGACCATATCCAAATTTTCTCAAGGTCCCCAAAAATTACCAGCACCCCTAATCAACAGGAAGTAGGCTAGAGAATATGCCCACAGTCCCCAAAAATGGATTATGGATGTTTGTCTTTGTTTAGAGGGTTGATTACAAATTGTCATTGATCATTGTCAAAAAGAAGGCTAAACAAAAGAGAAATTCAGAGATCTTTTTCTAAAGAAGGGGGATATGATATGGAAAAGATAGGATAAAAGGGCAGATTACTGAATCTGCTTTAATCCAAAAAAAAAAAAACCATTAATCTTACATATTTTACAATGGTATGAGTTTTGGCTTATTGATACAAATTTAAAGTTAATTTTGTTATATTATTTTTATATTTCTACCCTCGCTTAAGGTATTGTGTTTATGCAGCTCATTTAAATTGCAATGCATAATTAAGAAATACAGATTAATAGTCATCTGTAATAGTTAAACTTATAGTCATGTTAAGCGTGTTTGCAAGGTCATACACAGATATATGTAGATTGATAGATGGTCTTCACTTCAAAGACCTACAGAATATTATGGGCATCAAAGGAACTCTGTATGGAGTTTGTTTTCTTTATGGCAAAAGCTAGCCACGTGGACAAAGAAATTGCCCTTGCCTCCTTTGCTGGTAGTACACTGTCCAAAATGGACCAGCAGGACACGGAAAAAGGTAACTACTGAACCTTTCCAAGGCAAGGTAGGAAGGTCCTTCAAAATTGCCTGCTTCACAGAAAAGTCTTCTCAGATAGTCTAGCTGGATGACACAGTGTTGCCGAGGAACCAAGAGGAACTGCCCAGGCTGCCTGATGTCCCTGTCATTAGGTAACATTTCACCCTTCTGGGGTCTTTCATGGAGTTGAAGACTAGATAGTTATAATTATAGTTTTCTGCAGTTATGATTAAAAGGTGAATCAGATGTAAAACTTTAGAGTCACAAAGATAAAATGGATAATAGAATATTTTCTCTAATTTTTGCCAAATACAAATAGACTAGATATTATAACTGTAATTCTTACTTGATAACTGTTTTGTTGTATATAATCTTACTATGTGAAAGTTAAAACCTTCCTTTTTAATTAAACAAAAAGGGGGAATGCTATGGGATAATTTTCATGTACAGCATAAAAATTTGTCACTCGAATTAGTTTAATGAAACACTGATTCTCCAGTATCCAGGCAGGATGTATAGGTGGGGCACCCAAACTAAGGATGATGGAAAGGGTAGAGCCGGAGGAGTCACCAGCAGACACAAAGGGAACTGATGAATGTACCATTTTAATAAAGATACCACCACATAGCAGAGCATAAAAAAGGAATAGTGGTTAACTTAAAATGTAAGAGTAGTTAGTAATAAGCCTGAGCAACTGACTGAGCATTTAAGATAATATTAAGTCTCAGTGTGTTTATTTGGGAGTTGCTGGTGGGATAAAAACTTCTGTTTACAGCCAATCAATTGCCTTTGCTAACAAATTCAGGGTATGGGTACCCAAGCTGTTTTTTTGGCTCCTGTTTGTGTAAGTATCTTTGGAGATCAAAACTCCTTATGCAGATGATAAACAACTCAGAATAGCTTCAAGAAGTCCTTGAAACTGACCAGATTCAGTAGGCTCCTCCCTGCCATACAAGCTGAGAGTCCCGCTCAGAAGAGCTGAGTCATCTTGCAAAGAAGACTGACACCCTCCTACCCTCACCCCCAACTGAGTTGCAAAGACTCTGAGACCTGACCAGCTGTCTGCAAGAAGCAGAAACCAGTAGAGCTGCCTGGGAGAGGTTGAGACCAACTGAGGGGCCTGGAAAAAGACACTCTCCAACCTGTTACATTCTAGGTTCCCAGCTTCTTTAGTGTCACTTATGCTGCAGCTGTCTTTGAATCATTACTGCTCCTATAAATAACCCCTCACCCATATTCCTGTAAGTAACCCCAATAAAACTCATTGGTTAGCCAAGCTGGACTTCCGTATTTGTACTCTGGTCTGTAGTGGGCTTCCTATCTGGGATCAATAGACGAGTGTGATGCATCTCCCCAGGAAATATTTTAGTCCTGGAGTGTCTAAACACAAAATCTGATTTGTTCTGTAAAAACATCGGATACTGATCCCTTCCTGGGAATCTGTTCCAGGCTGAGGATCTGATAATCTCTAAAATGCTCAGGTCCCTGAAGTGCCTGTCTGTACCTTTAGATGGTTCTTACGTACATTCTCACTCTATCCTCACAACTCTAAGTAGGCAGGTGTTGTAAAAGCTAAAAATAAATTTACAACGCATCTTTTATTTTTTATTTACGAGTAGGTCCTCCTGAAATACACAGTTCAGAATCCCTTCATGGGGGCCAACTAAAACTGTCTAAGGACATGCCAATCTCATGAGGCTAAAGCAGGAAGGAGATGGAGATGAGCTAAGTAGCCGGCCTCACCAGCAGAGCAGACCAGCCTTCTTCTGCTTCAGGAATTTGCAATGGACTGCACTCAACGAGTAGGTTATGCAAGGGAGCTCGTTTAACAGGGTGCTTCATTGCAAGAACATTGTTTTATTTGCATGTATGATAATCACCCTTACCTGGACCCTCCACGGGTAACAGACAGAAGGAAATTTGGTATTAAATTCTCTTGTTGTTAACAGAGTCACTCCTCTAGGATAGTAATCAAGAGTCAGCATGTGCCCTTCTTGTCCCTCCATTCTCAGAGACCTCCTTTAACACACACACACACACACACACACACACACACACACACACACACTGATCTATTGTTTCGTGTAAATTCTGACTTTCTGGAAGACTCATTCTCACACCTCAACCCTGTACCCTGTTACCTAGCTAAAGCTTAGGTATAATGGGGTCCTAGCTTTACAGTGTCTTTTTTACTTATTTATATATTATGACTCACTGCTGCATTGTGGCCTGAATCTGACTATATTGGGAACAAAGCACTACAAAAACCTCTCAGGATTCCGTAGACTCCGAGTCTGCGGAGGGCTTTGGTATTTCAAAGGTCAGTCTTGGGTCTCTCCATTTTGATGACTAATGTTAAATTGTTTGACTTTCTACAAAAATATTTGGCTGTGCTTATTTACATAATTTCATCCCCAGGGCACACAGTAGGCACATATTTGTTGCACCAAATCCCCACAGGAATGAGAAGACAGGATGAAGACGCCAAGATCATGATTCTCCTATACACAGAGCTGAGTGAGAAGGGTGAAATCATCACCTAATTTGTACAAGGGTCCATGCACGGCCTTTTCACTCTGAGCTATGCATCTGTTTAAAAAAGAAAAGGATGAAAGGCACACTGGGGAAATCCCAGCACCCCTGAGAAAACACCATTATCCTCACCACATACGCAGGCACACACTTTCTTTTAAAGCTAGTTACTTCACAGGAAAGCTGGTTAAGAACGCCTCCCCACCCACTTGCACAACTCTTCCAGGGAAAAGAGGCTTTTAGAGTACCACACACTAGCCTCACATCCAACCCTTGGGAGAGGCAGTCTAAGACCGACCTTACCAGTCCACAGATCCTAAATGATACAATCAGATAATGGCTATAAGAGGCTTTCCCCCATCCCATCCTTCCCTCCAACCCCCTTTCTCTTTAGATAGGGTCTTTTGTAACTCAGGCTGGCCTTGAACTCAGGATCTTCGCGGCTCAGTGTTCCTAGTACCCAGCCGTGGACGGCGTTATTTTTTTTTTAATCAATGTTTAACATTAGGCGTCAGCATTGAAACTTAAGAACATCAGAAGTCATCATTCTACATCTTTAAAAAAAAAAGGGGGGGCACCACCATGGATGTGATTGGCAAACATATTCTTATACATTTCTTCATTTTCTTAAACTTTATTTTTATTAGGTTCCACCCTTACAGTTTCCTTCTAATTACCACAAGCTGGATACCTCTCTCATTCTCAGACTCTCAAAACTTCCCCCGCAGACGGGAAAAGTAGGTAAGGGCTTGAGGGACGTTTCTAGGTTGTCTGGTTTTGTTCCCCAAAGACACCCACCCAATCCCAGTCACGACTCCCACCCCCACCCCCACCCCCTTGGGGCAAGCAAGGGAGCGAAAACATTTCAGAGCTGCTTGGCTGCAGGAAAGCCACTTGCGGGTCTCCTTTTATGCCCTGGCTGTCAAGGTCACCGATTTCTATGGGCAAAACTCCACTGTGACTGTAGCTGGGTCAGCAGCCGCCCCTCGCCCGCTCGCCCGGCACCTTCCCGGCCCCGCTCACCTGACCACGTTGGGGTGCTCGAAGGTCTCCAGGTGCCTCAGCACCGCCACCTCGCGGATGGTGGACAGCGGCATGCCCTCCTCGCCGGTCTGCACTCGCA